TGCCCCCAGATTTATGTTATATCCACCAGCAATCCTATGTCTACCTACATGCTCGTGAACAACAGCGAAAACTGAAAGGCAAACTAAAAATAGCAGGTGCAATATCATGAGGCGCAATCACGTAGGTCAGAAGTGAGGCCCGGTAAACACGATATCACCACTTGACAGATTGTGTCGACGTCAATACGTCAGCCTCCAGGGAATGCCTGTCCCGATGAAACATGTCGGTCAAAGCATTATGAAGGCCGGACCAAACCTGTTAGGATGAATTATTCATCCCTCCTTTTTCCCCTTCAGTTTTCCATTCTTTCGGAATTTTGGACGGAAGGCTGTGCGTTGATCTATGTTTTATTATCTTGCATACATTTTTTGGATATGATTCCCTGTCGGTGTATGCGCTTGCGCTCCCACTGGGCTTACCGGCCATGTACACGGTTGCCCGGTTAATCGTATCTCCTCCATCTCTGAGCCAGAATAGTGAGTACCGGCTAGTGGTGCCTAGCGAACTTGCGGGCGACGTGATGGCGCCGGTGGCTATCACGCCTGGTCACCCGGCCAGTCGCTTCGTGCCTATCTTGCGAACCTGACCGTTCTCGGCATGGTGGCACGCTTAAGGGCGGCTTCGGCCACACCACCCACCTGCACCCTCTCACATCTGTGGTCTTCTCGACTTTTGTTTTGTCATCGGACGCAGAAGCATTTTCTGTGTAAATGAGTAAAGGCAAATGCGAGGATGAGAAGGAATGGGTGTGTATCGAAACCAAAATCATCGTTCTTCGACCATGCTAAGGCTTGAGTATACAGTTAATTCAGGGATAATTTACACGCACGCAGTATGCTAACAGGCGTCTTATCCAATCATATGATGCCAGGTGGCGCGACGTATGCCACACATTGACAACGATCTTGAGAATCCATTGGGACGTCCGACCACCTCAGCCAATCACATAATTGAACACGGGACGCACAGTTAATTGATCATAGTATAAATATACGATGTTGTAAACAAATCAGCAAAAACAGCATCGAACTGAAAGCACAGATCTGCCTTCTCCTGCTTACGGCTATCGTCTTGGGTAACTGCCAGGAAGCCACTGAGGAAACCGAAACCGAGGAACCGATGGGTAACGTCACCGACGCAGGTGACGACTCGACTGAGGGTCAGGGTGAGACCAAGGAGCTGGAGGGCGCTGCTTGGGTAACGAAGGGCTATAAGAAGTGGTGAGCATGAGTGGAGATGACCACGTCATTCCCTGTGTTACTTCTAATCTTCAGTAAAATTTTGTAAGATTTCTCCGTATTATTTTGGTATTGGTTGGTAACATCTACCGGGGCGGGAATTGGATGGGTTTTGGGCTAGTGTCGGAGACTGGGCTGTAGATACTCGTCACGCACATTGGTGTTTCCAATGGCCTCGATTAATGTAGCGAAAAATGACTCGTCAGTATGAGTCAAACACGTTTGAGTCTTAAATACGTATTTAAGCTGGTACAGTAGAGGTTCATTGGCGATAAGTTTTCGCCGACG